GCAAATACATGTACAATAAATATGACAGTGAATATATCGGTTGTTTTTTTCAAACTATAGGATAAAAAACGTTTATTTTTATAAACTTCAAATCTCATTTCCGTGTTAGAATAGTTTTGCATTGTTTGAATTTAAACAGGATTCGACTGTGTAATGAACACCGCTTTATCAATGTACATTTCCTGAGTCTGGTTTAGTGAACGGGAGGACGTCTAGAACAACGGCCTGTGTAGCGCCCTCGCTGATATGGACATACCCCGCGCCTTATGTGTGGGCAGTGAAGCGAGACGGTGGCGAGCGTACATCGAGCAGACAATGGACGGATCAGCTGCGTTCGTGTGATATGTTTTAACTTCATGGTAAAAATGCTTCCGTTTAAAAGTTTTCCATTTTAATAAGATTCTGCGCCGATTTATGTGTTAATCCAAATGGTTTCAGACAGGAATTATAGCCGAATTAGATGGATAAAATATCATGGCGGGTTTATAAGACGTAAAATTAATTATTTAATCGTGGGGCGTGTGGTGAAAACATACACTCTTTGTGTGATCAGTGACGATACGCCGGTATATGGTTTCTGGTGAGATTTTGAATTTTTGATTACAACCAATTCGTGTGAATCAGAGACTACTATACCGAATTATGAGGGAGGTCATCAAATACTACCGCTCCTTAACATAAATGAAATATATATCATCCATTTTCTTAACAAACACCAGATACCAGTGATGACTTTGGTATATCATTCTAGAAACTTAAGTTTATTGAATTATCGTACACATTAGTCATAACTTAGCGTCAGCTCCAATTACAACTTCAAAACCAAGGTTAACCTCAAGCACTATTTTCCACGGACATAGTTGATCAAGATCGCCAAAACGCAGCAATGTTCAATCATTCGCCACTCCCCGGTAACCTCCGGTAAATTCCGTCGAGATACCTGGAATTCCCCAAACAGCCCAGGACCAGCCTGCTTCGAGTCCCAACGAGTTTAGACGGGTTTGACCTACTTTTCACCATATTCCCGACCATCTATGCAAACCCAAGCTACCTTGGCAAATTACAGATAGTCTAGTTGTAGTTAGTTTACACATATTGCGGTGTTTGTTTCATTGTCGATTGATCATGGAATTTTGATGACAATTATATGCACGGCCGAAATAAGAATATATTGTTACGTAACGGAGTCTAAATATAGGATATTAAGTGTCCATGGTTACGTGCATTCATGCGTGATCGAGATGTGCCTACACAGCAAAATGTATTTTATAATAAACACGAAAAGATAAACTGTGTTCCTGATTCAAAAACTGCGTGAACATGAGAACGTGTACTTTTGGATTTGAATTATTGAATTGTTTGTATTTGAGAATTTGGGAATTGTATTTAAAGCGTCTGCAAGTGGTTATGTTAAAAGTACGACAGATCCAGCATCCATATATATATTCTGAGTGTGTTCGTTAAATCGTATTAAAAGCGATACTATACCTGGCTGATGACCGTATAGCTTAAAAATAACCATTTGCTGTCTTTTGATCAGCTGTAAATATGTCTGACGTAATACACAAACAGAACTAAACATAGATCCGATTTCGCCTATCAAAAGATGCAATGTTATGTATTTATTGAACTATTTAAATGTGTGATATATAGGTGAGTCTATGTATATGCATGAACACGCTTCTGTGTTACGTGACTTTAAAGTTGTATTTTCTGTTCTCTGAAATTGATAAACACCTCCAATCATAATGGTCCCATGTATACGCCTGTCTCATCGTAGGGGTTCCCGGTTAGAAGTTGGTCTCACGTACCAGATATCTGTCTCATCAGTGAGGATTCCTGGTTTGAAATACGTTTCAATTATATGTACCCGGGGAATCCGGGGCAGAATAGGTCTCAATTACTCATGTATGTCTCACCCGTGTAGATTCCAGGGCAGAATAGGTCTCAGTTACCCATGTATGTCCCATCCGTGTAGATTCCAGGGCAGAAAAGGTCTCAGTTACTCATGTATGTCTCATCCGTGTAGATTCCGGGGAAGAATAGGTATTAATTACCCATGTATGTCTCATCCGTGTAGATTCCGGGGAAGAATAGGCCTAAATTACCCATGTATGTCTCATCCGTGTAGATTCCGGGGAAGAATAGGTCTAAATTACCCATGTATGTCTCATCCGTGTAGATTCCGGGGAAGAATAGGTCTAAATTACCCATGTATGTCTCATCCGTGTAGATTCCGGGGAAGAATAGGTCTAAATTACCCATGTATGTCTCATCCGTGTAGATTCCAGGGCAGAATAGGTCTAAATTACCCATGTATGTCTCATCCGTGTAGATTCCGAGGCAGAATAGGTCTCAGTTACCCATGTAAGTCTCATCCGTGTTGATTCCAGGGAAGAATAGGCCTAAATTACACACGTATGTCTCATCCGTGTAGATTCCAGGGCAGAATAGGTCTAAATTACCCATGTATGTCTCATCCGTGTAGATTCCAGGGCAGAATAGGTCTCAATTACCCATGTATGTCTCATCCGTTTAGATTCCAGGGCAGGATAGGTCTAAATTACCCATGTATGTCTCATCCGTGTAGATTCCGAGGCAGAATAGGTCTCAGTTACCCATGTAAGTCTCATCCGTGTAGATTCCAGGGAAGAATAGGCCTAAATTACCCATGTATGTCTCATCCGTGTAGATTCCAGGGCAGAATAGGTCTAAATTACCCACGTATGTCTCATCCGTGTAGATTCCAGGGCAGAATAGGTCTCAATTACCCATGTATGTCTCATCCGTGTAGATTCCAGGGCAGGATCGGTCTCAATTACCCATGTATGTCTCATCCGTGTAGATTCCAGGGAAGAATAGGTCTCATTTACCCATGTATGTCTCATCCGTGTAGATTCCAGGACAGTATAGGTCTAAATTACCCATGTATGTCTCGTCCGTGTAGATTCCGGGGAAGAATAGATCTCAGTTACCCATGTATGTCTCACCCGTGTAGATTCCAGGGCAGGATAGGTCTCATTTACCCATGTTTGTCTCATCCGTGTAGATTCCGGGGAAGAATAGGTCTCATTTACCCATGTATGTCTCACCCGTGTAGATTCCGGGGAAGAATAGGTTTCAATTACCCATGGCTGTCTCACCCGTGTAGATTCCGGGGCAGAATAGGTCTCAATTCCCCATGTATGTCTCATCCGTGTAGATTCCGGGGCAGAAAAGGTCTCAATTACCCATGTATGTCTCACCCGTGTAGATTCCGAGACAGGATAGGTCTCAATTACCCATGTATGTCTCATCCGTGTAGATTCTGGGGCAGGACAGGTCTCATTTACCCATGTATGTTTCATCCGTGTAGATTCCGGGGAAGAATAGGTCTCAGTTACCCATGTATGTCTCATCCGTGTTGATTCCTGGGCAGAATGGGTCTCAATTACCCATGTATGTCTCATCCGTGTAGATTCCAGGGCAGAATAGGTCTAAATTACCCATGTATGTCTCATCCGTGTAGATTCCGGGGAAGAATAGGTCTAAATTACCCATGTATGTCTCATCCGTGTAGATTCCGGGGAAGAATAGGTCTAAATTACCCATGGCTGTCTCATCCGTGTAGATTCCGGGGCAGAATGGGTCTCAGTTACCCATGTATGTCTCATCCGTGTAGATTCCGGGGCAGAATGGGTCTCAGTTACCCATGTATGTCTCATCCGTGTAGATTCCGGGGCAGAATGGGTCTCAGGGGGGATTTACTAATTATTCTATATTTTCAATTTGCTACAGAATATATAAAAAATATACAAGTATCACATAACTGATATTAAACACGAAGAGATGAAGTGATATGATAACAGCAATTTAACGTACCACTGTTGGGCCTCATTGCCCTTGTTATCACCATGGTTTGAGTGGACCAGAGTCGATAAATGTAAACGCCGGAATACAAAAGGGGACTTTTCAGACTGCGCCGCATATAAAACAATACATGACACAGTCACTGTTACAGATATTCTTTCGTCAGTCAAGATTCTAAATCTGAAGTGACTCTAAAATGTCGCGAATGTCCCCCGCAGTGACTCATGTCCAAGGATCGCGAGGGTGGGATGTAGCTGGTCAGTGGTGGCTGTTCATCGCTGACGCTGCACTGTCGAGTGCGGGGGCGTTGGAGTAGGTGTAGCCAGAAACCGGCAGCACGACATCATGTCTTTGCCTGACAATTAGTGAAGAACTGATATTCTTGAAAAAATCGCAACACGTTTCTAATGCTACTTCCCTCCCACTTTCTGTGGATCTCCTGCAGGTTTAAGGATGTATGCGTGTGATGTATGACAGTAAAGATTGGATCACGATGCCTTCACGTGGCACGCTTTAGACATATATTAAAGTGTGTTCACTGGATTAGGTTCTTCGCCTGTTGCCTTGTTTACACACTCTCAACTCAAACCATATGAATCTCTGCGCTAGTTGTGTACATTTTATACACTGACACTGATGTTTCAGTATGTATAGGCTTTGTATGTATGTTAAGGTATTGCTAAATTAGTTGCGACTTCATCTCTGCACAGGGGGGTCGGGTAGCCTAGTGGTTAAAGCGTTCGCTCGTCACGCTGAAGACCCGGGTTCAATTCCCGACATGGGTACAATGTGTGAAGCCCATTTCTGGTGTCCCCCGCCGTGATATTGCAGGAATATTGCTAAAAGCGGCGTTAAACCCAACTCACTCACTCATCTCTGCACATATCGCGAAGTCTTTCTTTCGTGCTCGACTTTGGCACGATTTGAAGGTGTACTACATAAAATCAATGTACGCGTAAGTTTTGTGATATAACCTCAGCGACGCCATCATCAACCCCTTTCTACTCTTTCACCTTCGCCCCATCTCCAAACACCGTCCTTCCAAATCTACACCCAAACCGCAAAACCAAATCATCCTTCTACACCCCTGCCCCGACCCTAAACACCATCTTTTAACAGCTACACCACATCTCCAAACACCGTCCTTCAACATGTACACCACAACCCCAAACACCATCCTTCAACAGCTACACCACAACCCCAAACACCATCCTTCAACAACTACACCTCAACCCGAAATACCATCCTTCACCACTACACCCCATCTCGAAACACCGTCCTTCAACATCTACACCACAACCCCAAACATCATCTTTCAACATCTACACCACAACAACAAACACCATCCTTCGACACAACCACCCAAACACCAATCTCGGCACCTATTTTTCCTGAACCTCCACACTAACCTACACCTCATGAACCTCCACACAAACCTACACCTGCTGAACACCCACACCAACCTACACCTCCTGAACACCTACACCAACCTACACCTCCTGAACCTCCACACTAACCTACATCCCCTGAACACCCACACCAACCTACACCTTCTGAACCTCCACACCAACCTACACCCCCTGAACACCCACACCAACCTACACCTCCTGAACACCCACACCAACCTACACCTTCTGAACCTCCACACCAACCTACACCCCCTGAACACCCACACCAACCTACACCCCCTGAACACCCACGCCAACCTACACCCCCTGAACACCCACACCAACCTACACCTCCTGAACACTCACACCAACCTACACCTTCTGAACCTCCACACCAACCTACACCCCCTGAACACCCACACCAACCTACACCCCCTGAACACCCACGCCAACCTACACCCCCTGAACACCCACACCAACCTACACCCCCTGAACACCCACACCAACCTACACCCCCTGAACCTTCACACCAACCTACACCTCCTGAACACCCACACCAACCTACACCCCCTGAACACTCACACCAACCTACACCTCCTGAACCTCCACACCAACCTACACCCCCTGAACACCCACACCAACCTACACCTCCTGAACACCCACACCAACCTACATCCCCTGAACACCCACACTAACCTACACCTCCTGAACACCCACACCAACCTACACCTTCTGAACCTCCACACCAACCTACATCCCCTGAACACCCACACCAACCTACACCTTCTGAACACCCACGCCAACCTACACCCCCTGAACACCCACGCCAACCTACACCCCCTGAACACCCACACCAACCTACACCCCCTGAACACTCACACCAACCTACACCCCCTGAACACCCACGCCAACCTACACCCCCTGAACACCCACACCAACCTACACCCCCTGAACACCCACACCAACCTACACCTCCTGAACACCCACACCAACCTACACCTCCTGAACCTCCACACCAACCTACACCTCCTGAACACCCACACCAACCTACACCCCCTGAACACTCACACCAACCTACACCCCCTGAACACCCACACCAACCTACACCTCCTGAACACCCACACCAACCTACACCTCCTGAACCTCCACACCAACCTACACCTCCTGAACACCCACACCAACCTACACCTCCTGAACCTCCACAACAACCTACACCTCCTGAACCTCCACACCAACCTACACCTCCTGAACACCCACACCAACCTACACCTTCTGAACCACCACACCAACCTACACCTCCTGAACACCCACACCAACCTACACCCCCTGAACACCCACACCAACCTTCACCTCCTGAAGACCCACACTAACCTACACCCCCTGAACACCCACACCAACCTACACCCCCTGAATACCCACACCAACCTACACCCCCTGAACACCCACACCACCCTACACCCCCTGAACACCCACACCAACCTACACCTCCTGAACACCCACACCAACCTACACCTTCTGAACCTCCACACCAACCTACACCTCCTGAACACTCACACCAACCTACACCCCCTGAACACCCACACCAACCTTCACCTCCTGAACACCCACACCAACCTACACCCCCTGAACACCCACACCAACCTACACCCCCTGAACACCCACACCAACCTACACCTCCTGAACACCCACACCAACCTACACCCCCTGAACCTTCACACCAACCTACACCTCCTGAACACTCACACCAACCTACACCCCCAGAACCTCCACACTAACCTACACCCCCTGAACACCCACACTAACCTACACCCCCTGAACACCCACACCAACCTACACCCCCTGAACCTTCACACTAACCTACACCCCCTGAACACCCACAACAACCTACACCTCCTGAACCTCCACACCAACCTACACCTCCTGAACACCCACACCAACCTACACCCCCTGAACCTTCACACCAACATACACCTCCTAAACACTCACACCAACCTACACCCCCAGAACCTCCACACTAACCTACACCCCCTGAACACCCACACTAACCTACACCCCCTGAACACCCACACCAACCTACACCCCCTGAACCTTCACACCAACCTACACCCCCTGAACACCCACACCAACCTACACCCCCTGAACCTCCACACCAACCTACACCTCCTGAACACTCACACCAACCTACACCCCCTGAACCTCCACACTAACCTACATCTCCTGAACACTAACACCAACCTACACCTCCTGAACCTCCACACCAACCTACACCTCCTGAACACCCACACCAACCTACACCCCCTGAACACCCACACCAACCTACACCCCCTGAACCTCCACACCAACCTACACCTTCTGAACACCCACACCAACCTACACCTCTGAACACCCACACCAACCTACACCTCCTGAACACTCACACCAACCTACACCCCCTGAACCTCCACACCAACCTACACCTTCTGAACCTCCACATCAACCTACACCTCCTGAACACCCACACCAACCTACACCTCCTGAACACCCACACCAACCTACACCCCCTGAACACCCACGCCAACCTACACCCCCTGAACACCCACACCAACCTACACCTCCTGAACACCCACACTTACCTACACCTCCTGAACCTCCACAACAACCTACACCCCCTGAACCTATACCCTTTAAGAGCCCAGATGCTTAATTTTAGACTTAGGCAATCTAGACTTGCTTAATTTTAGGCTTAGGCAATCTAGACTTGCCAAATCATTCCAGAGATTCGTGTTTAATTCATTGTATAGGGTCTAGGTGATAGGCTAGCCACACATCCTACACACCCAACACCCCCACACCAACCAAAACACCAAACTATTAGCCCAAACCCAACATTTATGTCGACCACCCCAGCTCCAAACTAAAACTCCTAAACGTCGACCACCAATTCAAATGAATAGTCTCCACCCAAAAAATCACACCTGTCCCTGACCAATCTCACCCCAACCTCAAACCGAATCCCACCCTAAACCCCGACCCTACTCCAAAACAGCAATCTCGACCTACACCCAACGTCAGTCTCGAATATCCATTCATACAAAAAATCTCAACAGCAAACACCCAATCAATCCAGCCATCAATTACAGACCACACCTCCAACCCCATCTTCCGACCAGATCCCTGATCTTACAACAACAAAAACATTATAAAAATTATTATGATTCCGATTCCATGAATATTATATATTCGAAAAACCCAAACCTCTGTTCCAGCTGGAACACTTACTCTGAAACCTTAGCTTAGCCTAAAACCTTACCTCAACCTAAAAACTACAACCCTCGGCACACAGAAGTTTCCCAAGTCAGGAGACACTTTGGCTCCGCCTAGTCAACCACTTGTAATATCTATCTCAGCTTTCACACCTACCCTATATCTGTTTCCTTCAGATCGCCTACACCTACATCCCCTATCGATCGCGGCTCCCCACTCGCACGACCTACAACGCTGAACCTCCCTTCTCTCTGTACACGGTCACCATAGCTAATCTAGCGGTAATCGATGCTCTCTGCTTAATTACCCGACGATACGGGCCTGCCTCCGACCCAAGCCTTCTCTGTTGTTCAATCAATATCTTGGTGGTTTCCAGGTCCCGTGAATTCCCCAAGAACGCCGAAGAGTCATTTGTATGCTCTCTGCAAGCCTTTGCGTAACTCGAAAAATATAGTTTCTTGGGTTACCAGTTATCTCGATTACAGAGGTTCTGGAAATGTTTATAGGTCTTGTGGTTTGAGGGCTATCTTCAGAGCATGCATCAGTATGGAATCACGATGGTCGTATCCCGAAGACTACTTTGTGGAACAGTGCCCGGAGCTAAATGGGGCTCCACGAGGCTCCACATGTGTAACTTGTGGAACTATTTTCAACTTTTAACCTGGGTTTCGAAAATGCTTTTAATCTCTCTGTAGTTCTTCTTGTAATAAAAAAGTTTTTTACTGCAAATCTTTGCCCAGTTGGTAGATATCTCAATACTTCTACTCCCATTACCCTTGAATACACCACCTCCATGATATGTAGGTCTACAAGTACGCTCTATTACCCAAGCCACGTACGTTACAGTGCATGTTACAGTAGCGGCTGTTTTATCTTAGTCTATAAGAAATAAGTATATAAGTGATATAATAAGTAATTTTCCCAAAATGTGCACCAAAGTATATCAAGCTTACCCTCATTTGTTTTAACGACTTTCCTATTTTTCTTCATGAACCTCCCTATGACGAAAAGGTGCCAAGGCTGTAGAAATTACACGCGCACACGCATACACGCGCACACACACGCGCCCACCCACGCACGCGCACCTATTATCGATTTTCTATATATACTGGCAAACTATACATAAATCGCATAGGTGGAGACTACTGTGTACATACTAAAGGGGACTACGGATTTTCTCTCCCAAAATGAACGCTCAAGCTTGGCATGGAACTTTTATCTTGGCGTGACAGATTAACAATTATAGTAATATGAAAGAATCGTGTGCTCCTTATTAGTAGTTAAACATATTACCATTTTTTCTGAGAAGATATAAAAGATATAAAGAATATCAGCGTGCTCGGTCTGTTGTTCGAACGACGTTAGAACAATCTATTTTCTCTTAGCTGTATTCATTTATTCACTATTATCTGATTGGTTAATTGAAGCCATATAACATCACAATGCTTAATTGTTGAGAGAAATACGAATATGACGTCATCCATTGTTCATGGTGTCACAAATTGGTCAAATTGCGTCATCTTAAAAAAAGGTTGTCAGGTGAAGCATCTTTATTTTCTCTGTTGAACTATCACTGAGTAATATATAGAGAGGATATTCCATGTGTGAAATATCATGTTTCTCTCGAGTAACGAGGAAAAGGAGACAAATGGAATATCATATTTATTATATACTGTTTGTGTAGTTATCTACAGTAAATTTACATTATTTCATTACAAATGTAAAACTTTGAAACGTAAATTCTCCCTGCCTAACACACAGGGACGTTTCACCAACCCTTGTAATTGCGACTTGAAAAGTAGTTCCTTGTTTGCAAAATCTTAAAAATGTAAACAAAAGTAACCCAAAAAAATTGATGTCAATATAATTCTTTAACATACATTTGGATATGATTATACACAAAATAAAACTTCGACAAAAAATATTCTTGAAATCTACTAGACGGTTGTTGGAAGCGAAAGAATACAAGCTGGTCAAGTAACAACAATGACGCTTTGCGAAACGAATAGTCTCGATTGCAGAGCTAACTGATAAATATACAGTTTATAACATTTGAAACATTGAAAACATTTTCAAAAGAAAACAAACAAACGGGAAGAAGCGATATTATCTCCATAAATGACCATCTATCAATATTTTGCCATGTCAATGTGGAATTGACATAAACAGGAAGTCAACAGTCTGTGTACGGGGGGGAGACACTAAAAAGGGAGGTAATTTGCGGGGAGGTAACTCTTGCAAGACAATAGTTCCTTTAAAGTGTTATGATCACTACAATGAAATATCAAATGTTATGTTCACTGTAGTGAAAATATCACTTTTCTCAACTTCAGAATAATCAGTCTTTCACTGAAGTATATAATAAATGGAATAACGTACTCGAAACTCGTAATAACGGATCACCTGTCCCTTGTGAATCAATGCTGCAAGTCCCCCGCCAAGGGCCCGGGATTAACACCACTGAATCACTCGGGACAGACAATCCGAAATTTCTCGGAGCTCATTGGTTATTCTCGAGGTATATCACGGGAGTATATTGCTTTGTATTAATCTGTGATACGATTGCAACTTTACTGAACCGCAAAAGAAACGTCACCACAAGTAACATGGCATGAAAAGTTGTCATTTAAATATCTGGGTAATTTTTGTCAAAGTTTCTAAAAGTTAACATTACCTTGTACGGAAAAATGAAATTTGATGATAAAAAAACAAAGCAGATGGCAATAAAACCGATCGCCCAAATGCATCACGGCAATGGCCATGGTAACCCGATGAGTTCCGTGCAAATTGAAATGCACATTCGTTCCCCCATTTTTTGTCCTATAAAAATCCACCCAGATCGCATAACATTTATTCGTTATTGACTTGCTACCATATGCCAAGATTGACAAGAAATCAGCGACACCAAGCCCTTGGACGATTGCAAGCTTGACAAACCGCCCGGCAAGTAGCCAGTGCATTTCAAGTCCACGTAAGAACCATATCCAGGCTCCAGCAACGGTACCAGACCACCAACACTAGAGATGACCGACCACGTAGTGGAAGACCAAGGGTCACCGCCTGACGCCAGGATCGTCAGATTGTGCGACAGCATCTTCAAGATCGCTTTGTTACTGCTGCGGAAACTGCTCGATAGACCATGGGGACACACCGGCGACACATTAGTGCGGACACCGCGCGTCGACGATTGACGAGCAGACACCTCCCCTGTCATAGGCCACACCGAGGACACATTCTGACACCACGTCATCGCCGGGACCGTCTACAGTGGGCAACACAGCACCAGCATTGGCGCCACCAGCAGAGCCCTCTTCTCAGACGAGAGCCGTTACTGTATCTCAACAGCAGATGGCAGAGAGACACAGAGAGAGAGAGAGAGTCTGGCGACGCCGTGGGGAACGTTATTCGAATGCTTGTGTTGTTGAGAGAGACTCGTGGGGTGGTCCTAGCATCATGGTGTGGGGTGCAATTGGTCTTGCACAGAGGGTCGGTCCTGTGGTCTTCCAGAACATCGGTCCAGGGAGAGGCAATGGTGTCACAGCAGCTTGGAACATTGATCAAATCTTGAGGCCCCACGCTATACCTCATTTAGCACGTCTCCGAAACCACGAGTTTCAGCATGATAACGCCCGTGCCCACACTGCGAGAGGAACAAGAGACTTCCTCCAGCAGAATGGCACCTGAACCATGCAGTGGCCTTCCCCCAGTCTCGATTTAATTCCCACTGAGCACCTGTGGGACGAGATTCAAAGACGGCTGAATGACCAAGGCCGACAACTGCAGCTGAACTGCGTCAGGCGTTCCCCAGAGTGTGGGCTCAAGTACCCATCGCCTCCATCAACCGCCTCATCCATTCCATGTATCGACGTTGCACGGCAGTCATCAATGCACATGGCGGACACACGAGGTACTGACTTGTGATGCCATTTTCTCAGAGACTAGTGTTGTGTTTCACTTTAAGAACATTTGACACTTTAATTACAATCTTGATGATCAGTTTTTCCCAGTTTCATCCATTTAATATGTCTCCAAGTATGTTTACAGTGTTTGGACAAATAAGGTTTTTCATACATCTATCCATGGTGACGTTTCTTTTGCGATTCAGTATATTTTAGTTTTTTGTCGAAATGTTTTTAATA